GGGCGACTACGACCTTGGTGAAGAAGAGGCCGTTATTCCCCGTGACTGCAATCTTGACAACCAGAATATTATCGACTCTCGTGTCAACCGCTTTGACTATCCTCATCAAGAAGAGTTCGATGACAGTGCCCTCGACGAGATCGTTCGTAGCTCGTCTTCTGAGAGCACTGAGATAATACCTGGAGGCACTCGGCTCACTGTACGTCTCAAGCATCGTGTTGTAAGTCTATGCCACCGTCCTCCCATTACAACTTCCCCGCTTTCCATTTGCCTCGGTTCTTCCCGGCCACAATAAATACTTTGTCGTGTATCGAGCATTTCACACCATCTATGTGTCAGAACCATTGAGTAGTGCGGGATCTAACTTGTCTCGACCTTAGCCTTTACACAAAGAAGGGGTCAATTGCAACGGCCGACTACCTATAGCCGCTCCTCAATACAAAGGTTTCGACGCCATGGAAGAACAATGCACCCAACCAGCTACTCAGCCAGTCGCTCGTCAAGAAGGCTTCAATAGCATGCTCAGCGAGCAAGATGAATCAGACATCATCTGCATCCTCCTCCCTACATCACCGGCAGCTCATGAGGCTGTCGAGCTTACTGCTAATGCAGCACCTCAACATATTCTACAGAATCATGGCATGTCTCACATATACAAAGCTCCTGACGAAGACATGACTACTGGAGGCGATACAAGATCAGGTGACGAATCTGACGATTCCGAGAACTTAAATGCCCAGCCTCCTGATCCGAACCAGTCAAAATGGGATGGACCCGCAAAGGATATTGCTCTTCGATTTTCCTCAAAGGTTCACAATCTTGGCCTAGGTTTTACCTTTGGCCGCAACCCTGCGAAGTGCGACTTGTTGCTCACCAATCATGACACCTACATGATTAGTAATCGCCACTTTCGAATCTTCATGAAGAATAACGGAAGTCTCATGATCGAGGACACTTCCACTAATGGCACAATCATTGACGATATCGTCTTACACGGCCCTAAGGGCGACTCCTCGGATACCAATCGCGAATCACAACATACCCTTTGTAACGGTGATACCATTGAGCTTCCTCTCCAGGGAAGGCAGCGCGGGCAGTCTATCAGATTCAGTGTCAAGATGCCCATGAGGAGCGAAGTCGGCATTGAAAAGTACACCCAGAATTGTTATGCATACATCAAGTGTGTTGAGCAAGCAGAACGACAACATGGATTTCTTGCTCAAGCTGCACGAAACGGTAATGCTCCGGTCGTACCCCCAGTAAGATTCAAAGCTTCTACAACTTTTTGCTGGCACAGAATCTGACCCAGAAGCAGGTCCCTATGCACGCCTTGCCGCAGGGCGTGAGGCCGGACACTTCGCCCCACACATCTCTGTTGGCAGCTGCGACTGGAGCCAACTCCCACGGCATGCATTGGAGTGGTGGTGCCAAGTATAACGTTGTTGGCTTTGTTGGCTCGGGAGCCTTTGCAAACGTATACAAGGTGTCCTCGAAGAGAGATGGTGTAGTGTTTGCTGTGAAACAGTTGGACAAGAGCCGTCTTGTCAAAGATGGCAGCCTTTCAAGCAAGATCTACAATGAGCTCAATGTCATCAAGGGCTTACGTCATGTAAGTGCTCCTACTCTCCAAGAAGACGCGGCAAGACTGACACCTCACCAGCCCAACATCGTGAAGTATGTCGACCATCATGAGACAGCTCAGTGGCTCTTCATTGTAATGGAGTACGTTCGTCATGGAGACCTCGGCGCGTGGACCCGTAATGGAGCTCCAATGCCGGAGTATATGTCGATGCATGTCGCTCGACAGATTTTGCAGGCTCTGGACTACCTGCATCAACGTGGTATCACCCACCGGGATCTTAAGCCCGACAACGTCCTGATGGAAAGTGATTGCCCCTATGTCTTCAAGCTATCCGACTTTGGACTCTCGAAAATCGTCACCAACAAAGAGACTTTCCTCAAGACTTTCTGTGGCACGATGATGTACTGTGCCCCTGAGGTCTATCCGGGATATAACAGAGTCAAAGCCTCATTGCCATCCAAGCGTTCGCGTACAAATCCAAAGTAAGTAGAGGCCATGTCGCCTGTAGGGCATGTCGTACTGATACAGTGTATCAGGTACGATCACACGTTCCCCTACCAGCACTCTGTTGACTTATGGGGTCTTGGTGCCGTGCTTTACCACTTGCTATCTGGACAAGCACCTTTTATTGCTAGACACGATCCTCAGGGTGAGGATATGCTGTGGAATGTGATGCACAAGCCGGTGAACTGGGAGCGCTTGAGGATGGTAGGCGTATCACACCTGGGCATCGACTTTCTATCTGGGATGCTCGTCACAGATCCCTCTGAGCGTGCTTCCGACGAGGAATTGTTAGACCATCCATGGGTTCGCGTCGCTGAAGGCCCAGCAGATGCGTCTGACTGTGTTCTTAGTGACCCAGCCGAGCGCTTCCTGAACGCTCATGCATCTCAGCTGAGCATTGGCGATGAGGAAGATGATAGAGCAGAAGAACCAGTCGGGGATGCGACCGAAGATCCTCGTGCGTCTAAACGTGCTCGAGCTTGGGTTCCGGACGTCACACGGAACGTATGGGGAGAGACTCCATCGATGGTGGCTCGAAACCATCAGCAAGCAAACTGGGCCGATGCCCCACCGCTGGACATGACGTGTCCGCCACCCCAAATTTCTGCAAACAATATGGGAGTTCAACCGCAGCCAAATCGGCTTTTCGGCGAGATTGGAACGTCTGCACTTGCTAGCTCCGGCGCCCTTGGTACAGAGGGTAATCGCGCGTTGCGAGTACATGGACATGGACATGGGCCTGGAAGCTACGACCAATCTTCCGAAGGTCTTTACAATGATTCTCGTGCTGGCAGCCCAGAAGACGCTAGCGCGGCAAATGTGTCTAACACCCATGCCGATCATCAACAAAATACAAATCGAGGGACCACAAAAGACGACGTTCAGCATTCACAACGCTTACCTGGTCCTACACACAGCGGAGCTGCACCCAGTCTGCTTGGTACTGAGGTACTCGTTGGTCAGCTCAACATGACGTCTACTGGATCTGGCGCATCTGCTCGAGCGGAGAATGGCAAGCCCGCCACCCCAAAATTGTCCAAAGACCGCGACTCTCCGTCTTCTCAGCCTAACTCCAAGCGTTCCAGCCAAGATATGCTACCTCCCGAATTCGAAGGAGCTTCTAAGCGACCCAAGACTACTGGTATTGAACACCCACCTGGCGAGCTACCTAACACGTTTGAGGGATATTCTGCGGCGCGTCGCGCGTCGATCGAAGATCTTAGACAGAAGAGCATGTCTCCAATGTCCATACCCGGCCTACGAGGTAGTAACTACGGCGGATATCAAGATGGCCAACAGTCACGTGGAGCATTCAAGAGCAATGACGACTTGCCAACGACAGCATTCAACAGCCGCGAGTCGTCTCAACACTTTGGAGCAGAGGATGATGACATCATGATGGGATATGACGGGGACAGTGAAGATGAAGTCTTACGTCTCGAAGAAGCACTCGCTGCTGCTAAAGCCAAGAAAGCAGCAAAAGCAGCATCTCGCACCACCTCTCGCCCCATCTCGCGAGCCTCTTCACGCCCCACATCTTCGCACGCGGACCCAACTTCTACCATCCCCCAACCCATGACCGGCACCGCGATTTTTGACGCGACGGCCCATCTTGCCCCGACAGCAACCGCATCCTTTGTCAAGCCTCCTCTCCGCTTCGGCAACCTCCAGCCCACACGCGGCTCCATCCATACACCCGCCATCTACATCACAGAGCGATTAACCACCTACGGCCGCAAACCCGACTCCACGTTCGTTCACCCCAACCCCAGAGACGACCGTATCCCCAAGCAAGCCCTCGACATCCAGATGTGGTACCCAGGGATCGAGGCCGACATCGACGCCGACAAGAAGAACTGGGTGAATCATCCAAAGCTGGAGGCGATCTTACGCACGCACGCGTCTCTGTACGTGCTGGTTAACGGAGTGAAGTTGAAGAAAGGGAGAGGGGAGTACTTATGGGGCAGACTGAGGACTGGGGATGAAATCACGGTCGTGGAACCAAGGATTGGTGCGACATCGGCAAGAGACAAGGAGTTTCTACGCTTCCGCTGCGAATTCTTCGTTGGCATCAGCAAGAATATCAGAAAGCCGGGAGAGAAAGCTTTCGTCGTCGAAGTCGAGAAGGACAAGTTCAAGGTGGCTGAGGATCGCAAGAGTCGTGAGAGCACCGCTGCGCTTGGAGCGAGCAAAAACGGCGAAGGATCGAGCAAGGATAAGGGAAAGGCCAGAGAGATTGACGAGGCTACTTCCAACACCAACAATGCTACCGGCAAGAGTTAGGACTTACGGGTTGAGTCGCGGTGTGGTTTGGGTCATTGCCCACTACTAGTACGACTCTTTCGCCAGCCCGTTGGCCCTGCTTGCGGGGTTCAACGGGTATGGTTTTCTTGTGTGTAAGGGTTGAGATTGCATGCATGTTTGTGAGCGAGCGGAAATGAGGTTCAGCAAAAATTAGCGAGTCGTGATTTTGCGATAGCATAGCATGCAAAGTGTTTTAGATCAATCGAGCAGCTTGCAATAGCATGATTCTGATGACGTAACTTGATTGTAAGGCTTATGGTAAGCTCGATACCGAAGATCTAGCCGTCCTGCTGTGTCGCATTCGTCAGGGGTGGAGACCAGCAGGTATAGCTCTCATATTCTGATACCAAGCAACCATTGTGCTGTGATAAATACTGAGCAGTAGCATGGTATTGCATCCCCACTTAGACAGCAAAAGCCAGTATGGTACCATATGCGATGGCAAGCCCTTCAAACCCCTCATTTCGAGAAGTGCGATACAGCACCCTCACCCTCCCATCACTCATCCTGACAGCTCCGCCTCCGCCTTCTTCTTCTTCCATTGATTCACACTCTTCACAGACCGAGGATCCCTCGTGCCATCCGGCTTCAGTAGATAGCCGTCTCTGTCCCTCTTTCCAGGCTTCTTCCCCCCCTTACTCTCCAGGTTCTGATATCGTGCAGATCTTCCATCAACCTCACCATTAGCTCTGTGGAGAAGACCATGCTCATCACGTCGACCGCTACTAGATCTCGAGTCTCGAGAGTCGACGTCCCAGACTGAAGTGCTTGGAGTGCTCGCATCGAAAGCGGTGGTCTTGCGGCGCTTGCTGTTGCGATGGGTGGTGCGGCCGCGAGCTGTCTTGTTGCCGTCGCTGGGCTCGGAAATGGGAGGAGCCACTGGCACACTTTGTCGGCGTTTGGTCTTGGGTGGAGGCTGCTGGGCGCTTTGATCTGCTCGATTCTGAGCAGTCTTGCCTGCTGGCTGCCAAGAATTCCTAGTTGATGACCCAGTCGATGACTGAGGGCGGACGTCGTCGACAAGCTCATCATCGTATTTATGGTCGTCTTGGTTATTTTGATGAGAGCCAGTGGAAGTCTCTTGCAATTGAGATATATTTCGTGGAAGAATGGTTGAATCCGTATTACCCGTGATAGACGTCGATGCTGTGCGAGGAGTAGCCACATCACTGGCGGTTGAGCTCCCGTGCCTGATGGTACTCTGGTCTGGCCCCTTACGTGGTATTTGGGGAGGTGGCATGTTGACTGAGGTGTGGCTTCCTCTGCTGGCGGTGCCATTGATGAGCGTTCTTGGCCTCGTGGCAACTATTTTCTGGGGTGGCAGCGCTTCGGCTTTGGATCCCAATGAGAGCCGTTGAAAAGGTGGATCGCCTCCATCCACCGCATTATGTCTCTCAGAGGCGGTTTTCTGGGGTGCCAACAAGCCGTCAAAATATGCGGACATTGGTGATTGAGTAGCTGATAAAAGCAATCCATTTGACGTTGCGTCATTGCGTGGAATTGCTTTTTCGTCGATTGTAGGCGATGGTCGGTTCGATACCTGTGCAGAACCTAGTCCTGTAGATGATCGCCGCCCCGTTGGCCTTGAATCCTCCATGCGCTTGATACGCTGCTGCATCATTTTCATCTCGAGCTTAAGTGCGTCAAGCTCACTCAGTCTGCTGCTGACCTTTGTAATACTATCCGTGAGCAGATCAACGTCCCCAGCGAAATCTTGAGATGCCTGGTCTCTCCTATCCTCCAAATGCTGGACAGATTCCCTGACAGAGATCATGTCTTGCTGCAAAATGTTCACACTTGCCATGACACGGTCAATATCTCTTCTCTGCTCCCCGAGAATTGGCATAAGATCAGCGGTTTGTCCAATGTTCAGCTCGAAGATTTGACCAGAAGAAGGTGCTTCGGTATCTTCAATCTCGCTGCCCCTTCGGTGGGGTACTGATCGCTGCTTGGACGATGTTGGCCCTGACAAATTCGGCATAGAAGCCAAAGGGTCTTTTGGGCTGGTGTCCAGAACATTGTTCTGGCGTTTCTTGGGTTTTGCTTCCACAAGATTGCCTGATGTGATAGACTTCATGGTCATCTTGGTAAGCTTGAGGTAGCTGCGGTTGCTACAGGGCGGAGAGTTAGTCCCTCATGATCTAGACCTGTCACAAGAGCGGAGTTTTTCTCCAAACCAAGCAGCCGCTTCTAGAACCATGGAGAGGCGTAATGGACTTCAACAGCATTGTTGGTATCTTACAATGGATCACTGTCTTTACTAGGAACAATACACTAACGAAACTTCTGCTTACACATTCGTCCTCTTCTCGACCGGTGCCTCCACGCACCTCACTCCCAACGTCGTCTTGCAGCGGTGGCATCGCAAAGGTTTCACCAAGCAACCCTCCAACTCCGAGTCCTTGGATCCCTCTCGGATCTGCTCCACCATTTCTAGGCCTGGATCCGTGAAAGCCCCTGGGCTTTCATACGTTGAATAAGAAGTCGAAACTTCGATCCAATCGTTTAACGAGATACAAATGAGAATATTGCACTCGTTGCACTGGCAGCTTATCGTTTCTGCTATATCCATGGCGCGTCGTTTGAGATTGGAGCGCGACTTCACATGACAGGCGGAGACAGAAGACCATTCAATCCATCAGGAAACTTATGAGTCTGCGAAAAATGGACTTGGGCAATCTTGAAGCTGCTCGTCCATTGGTAAATGGGAGGTAGGAATACTGTTGGCGGCACCAGGCGGCAAATTCCTGATGAGGAAATTTCGAAGCTTTCGGAGACAGCACGAATGCAGGGTAGGTATGGTGAAAAGACTGCAAAAAAAAGTGAACGTGTGAAGCATTGAAACTTGTTGTATACTTATTTCCACGTCGGTTCTAGGCATGAATCCAAGTGACACTGTCTTTCGTAATAGATTTAACGCTTTCGGTTCACAATAATGTTCAAAGATGAAATCAATTGAGAAGCAATCTTTAAGCTACATGTATGCACTTTCTGTAAGAGAAGAGCATTCGAAAGCGGCAAAACATGCTCATTGATGCTACTCCTATCGACTTATTAGGACGTCTCCCCCTTCGACTGACACTTGCTCTGGCATATTGCCTGCCGTTCACCCTGCATGAGAGAACATGCCTTTCGCATTTACGTTGCCCACCACTTCGGCCCTCCCCTTCTCATCTTTCGTTCACAGTACGACTCACCCTTCTTTGCCGCTGGCTGCCTCGACCCATCGAAGTGTGTTCCGGAGTGTACTGAAGAAACACAAACGTCTTCCTCCCTCGTCCAGAACGTCCTACTTGAGCACCATCCTAGCTACCTTCGACGACTATCTACCCTACCTGCTTACGCTAGAGGCTGCGTTGTGCGGAAAACCAGTCAATGGGGAAGAGATAGACCTGGCGCTCAAGAAAGAGATTGATGTGGAATGGCGGACTACTTTGACAGCTACAATCCCAGGGCGAGAGCCTCCTCGGGTCAAAGGCAAAGGGCTAGACTTCGAGGTTTCGTTCGTACTCCATACACTCACGTGTCTCTATACGTTACAAGCAAGAGCGCAGCTTCTAGCTCTGTATGGAGCAATTACTCCTACCGCTGAACAGAGAACCGCTATCATCACGACAGCCACCAAGCAGCTTCTGCAAGCGAACTCGATCCACAATTACCTAGCATCACGCGCTGCTAAAATAGACGCCTCTTGTGCAATTTTGGAGACTCTGGCTCAAACACAAGGCGGTCTTGCCGCGTTGGCACTTGCCGAAGCTACCCTTCTGGCCGTGTTGAAAGATGATCCATATCCTGCAGTAGTTGCTCAAGATCGTAATAAGAATGACAAAGATTGGATGATCAAGCCCCCAGAAATACCAAAAGTGCGAGCTCATCTGTTTGCAAGGCTGTGTCTTGCAGCCGCGGAACACGCTGGGAAGGCCGAGGCCATGCTGAGCGCCTCAGGCCGAATAGACGAAGCATTGATCAAGTATGTCAATGGACTAAAGAGGACCTCGAGAGCAAAAGCGTGTCGATTCTTTGGCATTGATGCCGACTTGGGGGGTGAGACCGGGCAAGGAATTGCGTGGCTCACTGGAGCTAAAAAGCAATTGGGCTTTGCAGGCGCCAAGGATGAGGGATCGAAGATGAAAGGCTTGGCAAAGTTCAAGAAAGACTGGACAGAGCGGAGAGAGGACAAGAAGATAGAAAGAGGCGGTGAGTGGGGGAGTGACGCTGGTCGACTGGAGGAACTGAGAGTGATTGAGATGCTGGAACAGAAATGGAACAAAATAAATGACACGGTAGGCCGCGCCCAGGACTTGCCTACTGATTGTCCTAATAGAGAAACAGATAAATACGCAATTGATACCCCCTTCTGATCCGCTTGTAGCGAACATGCCCTTAGGTAGGGATATTCATTCGGTGAAGTCTTTTGTACCTCCCAGTCTCGATGACGACACATTGACACGCATGCGTGCTCCGCCTGATGTTGACGAGATGAGTGATGGTGATGATGATGAGAGTGGCAGCGATGAGGGTGAGAAGGCTCAGGCTGGCTTGCCTGGAGCTTTCCCGGGGTCCTCTTCCACCCCCTCGAATGACAATTCGTACTATTAACAAAAATGCATTCATGAAGTATCGCAGCTCCGTGACTTCCAAATTCTTGATGTTGAGAGTTAATGCAAAGCGCAAATCCCCAACCCCTTCATGGATGACCCACTGAACGCCATCTAATTATGTACGCCCATGCTTCTTCCCGTAGACGTCTCGGCTCAATAGCAATGCTGTATTTCTCATCGATGCAAACGCCCTTCACTCATCCCCTGGAACATAATTCTGCTGCTGAAACAAATACCCTCGTACCTTGGCATCCTTCAATGCCTCAAAGTATCTTTCTACATATCAATTAGCCTGCAACCTGCAGCTCCCCCAATAGCCGTCCCTTCTCAGGACGATTATCCAAACAACATACCTCTCAGACCCCCACACTTCTCCAAATGATTAACCCCTTCCTTAATATAACACTTCCCCAATTCGTCCCGTATTAACCTAGCCATCATGCTCTTAACCCATTGTTCCCTAATAATAGCATCCTGCGCTGCCTTCAGCCGTGGCGTATCCGCGTAGTCTACTCCTTTGAAGGTTGGCGGGACTTGGGGCTTTTTTGCAAGGAAGAGGGCGGATTCTGGGGTTGGCATGCTGCCGCTGCCGCTGCTGCTGCTTGTATCTCGGCGGATGATGTTCGGTGGTGTTTGGAGTGTTTGGATTGGAGCTGGGAGCGGTGATAATGATAGAGACTAGAGTGGTATTTGACAACGGCGGAAGATGGTTCTGGGAGAGGAGGGAGGAGACTTGTTGCGAGCCTTGAGATGGCGGAGGTGATTTCGGAGACCGTGGTGGGCATACTGCTCATGGCGTTGTTTTAGCAATATAGACGTCTCAGTACCAATGACGTTGGGGGTGATGGCAAGCCTCGGCTTTCACTCAAGCTTGGAAAAACAGATTTAACAATACCTTTTATCACTTTTGCGTTGCCAGTTTCTTGATTGCTCCTTCCTTTGCATCGTAACAAGCCAAACCTGCCACCTTCTACACATGATGTCTTTCCTCGGCGGCGCCGAATGCTCGACCGCAGGGAACCCACTGAGCCAATTCACAAAACACGTACAGGATGACAAGTCGTTACAACGGGACAGGCTTGTGGGGCGAGGGCCCGCAGGTCTGCAAGAAAGCTTCAGGAGTCAAGTGAATGGGCCAAGCCAAGATAATGTGAGTTGCCTGGTTGCGGCAAACCTAAGTTCTTGCACCGTGGGCCCTCCCAGGAGCTAGATCATGGCTAATGCGTAGCTACAGATGATGCAAGATTTCTTACAGCATAATGGTCAGCTCCACCAAGATGTACCCCAACCCTTCGCAATGGAGCAGATGCGAAGAGACTTGGATGGCTATCGAACAACCACCCCCCGAATACACTCACCTGGCTGGGCATCGGAATTCGATCACGGGGAGCAAGCGCGCTTGGAGGCTGCGTTTCAAGCGCCAAAATCAGGAGGCTTTGTCCCTGCTGGCTTTACACCAGCTGAGTTTCAGCGATTCCAGCAGATTGAGAGGAATGGATCAGCTAGGGTTGGGAGTCCAACCTCGTACACAGATCTAGGGATGAATGGCTACAATAGATCGATGGGAATGGGCTACGGAATGAATATTGGGATGATGGGCTCACAGTATAGGCCAATGGGCTTGCAGAGGAGACCGTCAGAACAGCAGACTACTGGCAAAGGAAAAGGACGAATGGTGGAGCTTGATGAGAAAGATTGGGAACAGCAGTTCGCAGAAATGGACGCAGAAACTCAACGCGATTTAGACGCTGAAGCAAACGCAGCGATAGAGCAGGAGCTCAATAACATGGACAGGTCAGTCCTTTCCGAGACCAATGAGTTTGGCGACTTCGAGAGCGTGTGGCGAGGAATACAAGCTGAGACTGCCAACGCTAAATCCATGATGGATAATGGCGAATACGGTATGCACATGGGCGAGGAGCTACCGTTACGAGACTACGATACTTGGGACAACTTTGACAGCAACTTTCATGACGGTTATCGGGATCCTCAGATGGGCAATTATACTTTTGAAGAAGACAATCCTTTCAGCGCAACTAAAGACCCGTTCGAAGAAGGCATCAAAGTAATGAATGAGGGTGGTAATCTTTCCCTGGCCGCTCTCGCTTTCGAAGCCGCTGTACAGAGAGATCCGCAACACGTACAAGCCTGGTGCCAACTCGGCAGCGCACAAGCCCAGAACGAAAAAGAGTCGCCAGCCATTCGCGCTCTCGAACAAGCTATCAAGCTCGATCCCAAAAACCTCTCAGCCTTAATGGGTCTCGCTATATCATATACAAACGAGGGTTACGACTCCACCGCCTACCGCACTTTAGAACGCTGGGTTTCAACAAAGTATCCTCAGATCGTTTCTCCCGATGACCTTACCCCGCCAGGTGATTTCGGTTTCACAGACCGCCACGTTCTCCATGAAAAGGTGACGACCCAATTCATCCGCGCAGCCCAACTCTCCCCAGATGGCGAACATATGGACCCAGACGTGCAAGTGGGTTTAGGCGTGCTCTTTTACGGTGCAGAAGAGTACGGCAAAGCTGTTGATTGCTTTGAATCGGCGCTTACAAGCACTGAGTCTGGAACAACTAATGAACCTCACCAAGCGCACCTTCTCTGGAATCGGTTGGGCGCCACACTCGCAAACAGCGGCCGCAGCGAAGAGGCAATCGCAGCATACGAAAAAGCTCTAACCCTAAACCCCAATTTCGTCCGCGCTCGTTATAACCTCGGCGTTTCCTGCATCAACATCGGTGTGCTCCCCCAAGCGGCACAGCACCTCCTTGGCGCACTAAGTATGCATCGCGTCGTCGAGCGCGAGGGCATGCAACGTGTCAAGGAGGTCATAGGCGAGGATCCAGAAAGTAGTACGATCGACGAAAGCGATGTGGAGAGGATGGTGGGTATGAATCAAAGTACGAATTTGTTGGAGACACTGAAGAGGGTTTTTATGAACATGGGAAGAAGAGATCTGATGGAGAAGGTGGAGTTGGGAATGGATATTGAGCAGTTCAGGGGGGAGTTTGATTTCTGAGGTTGGTGCCCATGCGGCAGAGAGAAGGATTTAAGCGCAGCTGATGAAGATAATCGAAGCCATAGGCTTCTCCCACGCTTGAATTGTAGATAGAGGATGGCATTGGGAACAACTACAGGGAGCCATGCAAGGAAAGATCGACTTGTATCTATATCAAGGCTCTCGACGAATCTATGAATGTATTTACCAGGCAATACCTTTCCAATCAACCACGACTATAACTTGGTGGCTGCGCTGATGATGTCCCCTCACATACCCACTACCCGCAATCAGGCCATCACCACACCCTATATCGATTGCTGCCAATGCTCCTCAAACCGCTCCAGTTAGAAGGAGGGTGTACCCGCGGCCATAGTCCGACGATCAGTGGTTGAAGTCGTACTGGAGGACGTTGACCGCCAACTCCAAGTTTTGCTTGATGCTGAAGACGCTGAGAAGTGCTCTTACTCGTTGAGATTATGGGAAAGGAAGTGCATCTTCAAACTTATACGCCTGACGCTTTGCATAACGCGGAGAAAAATCAGACTTGGTGGGTTTCTCTGCGAGGCTGAGTATTGAACGATACAATATATTGACAAGGTTTTTTCGCTCGTCACGGCCTGTTTCCCCATGTTATAAAGGATCGTCAAGGCTTCAAACGACGGCAATGCTGATAAGAGTCAAGCAACGCAAAGTTAGATGTTTCTGGGGTCCGTACCGGGTGCAGATAGTGGTCTGGGGTGCCGTTGCAACGGACGTGCTGTTGCCAATAAGGGAGTTTCAATGATAGAGCTGATACCCAGCACAGCAGCGGCAGACAGCACATTGATATTTGCGCAGATTGATAGACACTAATATCAATCTTGCCACTGACTTTTCATCTTCGGCGACTTGTGCATCATGACATACATATATTCTCCGAGGTCCGAATTCACTCTCGTTACCCAGCGCTCAAAAATCCTCCCACCATCCGAATTAACCCCGCTCCACAACTCCTCATATGACATATCATGCTCAATTGATTGCTGAGCAGCACAGGACTTAAACTGAACCCACCATGAAGCGCAGATCAGATCAAGTTGACGATTTGGAGGTCGCTGAAAAAGGCAAACGGCGAGCACCGAGCCACCAAGATCGCTTTCGAGAAGGGCTGTTTGGCGGATCTGTCTTGGACGAATATAGAAGGAGCTATGCCACCTCTAAGCCGTGAGCATTGAAAGTACGCATCGATGACATCCAATTAAATGCTGACAGCTCACAGATACCGTCACGGCGTCATCCAAAGCCTCATCTCTCCCGCACTCCTTCGCAGCGTGCGCTCCGAAATCCAGAACCTTTCCTTCACTCCCAAAGAAACGGACATCTACAAGATCCACCAATCTGGGGACTTGGCAAATCTTGATGGCCTGGATGACTCCTCTCTCAAGCTTCTGCCTTCACTACTCACACTCCGCGATGCCATGTACTCCTCAGATTTCCGGGAGTACCTATCCACCGTTACAGACTCTGGTCCGCTCTCTGGGAAAAAGACGGACATGGCGATCAATGTCTATACACCTGGCTGTCACTTACTATGTCACGACGACGTCATTGGAAGTCGAAGAGTTAGCTATATCCTCTACCTGACGGATCCAGATACACCTTGGAAGGAAGAGTGGGGCGGCGCATTGCGCTTGTATCCCACACAAACCTACACTGAGGACGATGGAGAGGTCACCAAGGTCCCAAGTCCGGACTATAGTGTCTCCATACCGCCGGCATTCAACCAATTGAGCTTCTTTGCCGTGCAGCCAGGCGAAAGCTTTCACGATGTACAGGAGGTCTACGCTGAGGATGAGGAGATAGATAAAGAGAAGGCCGGTGGGAGGGCCAGAATGGCAATAAGTGGATGGTACCACATACCACAAGAAGGTGAAGATGGTTACGTCGAGGGTTTAGAAGAACGGCTGGCGGACAAGAGCAGCCTCATGCAATTACAAGGCAAAGGAGACAAGTATGAGCTTCCAAAATCGAATTTCGAGCTCTACAAGAAGTCTGCAGAGAGCAGTGGCGACATTGGTCTACCGACCCCATCGTCACAGGAGGACCCTGCTCTTTCGGAAGAGGACCTCAATTTCCTCCTAAAGTATATCGCTCCCACGTACCTTACGCCAGATACCCTCGAATCAGTCTCCGGGATTTTCGCTGAGGAGTTTTCCCTTTGTCTTGATACCTTCCTATCCCACAAGTTCTCTGACTCAGTCCGGGACTACATTGAATCTCAGGAATCGCAGACACTACCAAGCGAGTCCACCGAAATTGAGAAAACGACATCATGGGCTGTTGCCAGGCCGCCACACAAGCATCATTTTCTTTTCCAAAAAGCTAGCTCAAGCGAGCGCCGAGAATCTCCGCTTCTTGACTTGCTAGAAGATCTTTTGCCTTCTGAAGCTTTCCAGAAGTGGCTTTCTCTCGCGACAGGCCAGACTATTATGTCACATAATTTACTTGTTCGGCGTTTTAGGCGAGGACGGGATTACACGCTTGCTACTGGGTATGAGGAACACGCCCCGCGTATCGAGCTTTGTCTGTCCATTACGCCTACTTCCGGATGGGGAGATGACGAGAATGCTGAGTCAGAGAAAGATACTAATAAGGAAGTCGCTGTCAAGGAAAAAGATGAAGCTGAGGAAATCACTACCACAGCGGACGAGCCTAGTGTAGGCGGCTACCTCGCCTACATGGCCGGCGAAGATGAGGACGACCCTGACCATGACGAAGGGGGCAGCGACCATGGTGTCGAAGTTCCGTTCGACATGAGCACTGGAGCTCGGTCCACAAGAGCCGCTAACCCTAAGAAGTCAAAGCAAGATCCAGCCATCTACCAAGCCAGCGGCGACGATGACGAGGATGGCGTCCTTTTCAGTATGCCCGCGGGCTGGAATCGTCTGGGTATAGTCTTGAGGGACAAAGGAACCATGCGCTTCGTCAAGTATGTGAGCCGGATGGCGAAGGGTGATAGATGGGATTTGGTTGGAGAATTCGACGTTCTCGACGATGAGAGCGACGAGGAAGATGATAAAGGCAAAGTAAATGAGACAGGGGTTAGGAGTGAAGCTGATGATGGAACTCACGAAGATGAGGATGATGATGACAGTGATGACAATCATGAAGATTCTTCTACTGAGCATAGTGATTAGAACTACTCTGGACAGTGGGAAAGAGATCCGTCATGAGTGCGAAGAACATGTCTTATCTTGATAGCCAAGGGACCACAATGAAGTCAGTGCGGAGTTCATGGTGATGGCAAGGGCTGTTCTCAACTCGGCCACACTTGGGCTATTCGAGAGATATTTGGCCCATGAATCGGAGCAAAGTTGGCTTCCACGAGATTTTTAGGATGAGGTTTAAGAGCCTGAAAACCAAAGGAGTTGGTGCAGCACCCTTCTCGGTCGTCTTGCTTTGGAATCAGCATATCTTCTCTTGAGTGGTCTCTAAGCTGGGTACAACAACCCAGCCAAACTACTTGAAACTGGTGGGGAATCGACGGCCAAAGGCAGGCGAAGCCGGCAGCCGTTTGTCAACCCGGGACATTTTTTGCTGTCACACTTGACTTCCACTCACCTCTTGTTCATAAATACTCGTCCTCGCACAACGTTGCTTCAGCATCTGTCCAATTCCGAGGAGCCGCACCCCGGAGACTTCGCTCGTTCCTGGAAACCTGCCCCAAAACCGTAGGGCTTGAGCTGAAAACCCCAACACACACAAGGACTCCAAGATCTGCAATCCAGACGTCGCGACAGCTTCAGAACCTGCGAATCGAGGGAACCCCCCACGAGCCATCACCAGTTCCACAGTCGCCATAACTCAAGCCATTGAGCCAGCCTTCGAACCCGGGGAGCCTGATAGCAGAGGCTGGTGAAAAATGCCGGATGATATTCTCAAGCTCATCGTTGAGGAGGCAGACCAAGCAACACAGGTTGTCTGGTCTCATACCGGCAGCGTATCTCACGATGTCTCGAGCGCCTTGTAATTTACATCGACGGAGAGGATCTTCGGACTCACCGGTAATGGACACGGACTCAGCCTCCACCTTCCATTGTAAGACGGGAGATTGGCGGGATCGTTGATTTCCTCGTTCGGGGTCCGGCCCACCGAGACTCTCATCAAACGTCTAAGACTTGTCACGAAGAGATGATAATGTTGAAACGAATAATTACTAATGATCGTACATACTTTTGTGTGTGAGGTAAGGAACCTGCTTTAGTGGCAAGCTTTGACATCACGTTTGCACACGCTAAATTCCTGCTGAACTTGTACCGCAAAGACGGTTCTTCCTTCAAGGTTGTGTTGGATTTTTCGTAGCTAGTTGACATTAATCACATGTGGTTGATGACTGTGCGAGTATTAATAATGCCTTTTCTCCGCACATACTGGCGCAGGGCGATCTTCTAAGCATGTGCAAATAAGACACTCTGTTATAACGGGCTAATCTATCTCGTACACGAGCTGGTACAAGAGAGCTCAGGATCCCGTGATCTATCTGCCACCTGTAACATTATCTATCACTTGCGCTTATGCCGATCCAAATCCCGAGGTCCCAGCGGAACATGTCGGGTCTCCCTATGAGTTCCAGGTTTCTGTACCCTCTAGGACATAGAGCATGGGCCACTGAAGACCAATGCCGGTCACTCTTATGATGGTGGGGGACACACGACAGCGGGGTCTGTGTCGTGTCACAATACGCCACCAGCGCGTCCGGACATGGATCGGCGAGCCAGTTGGGCGAAGTCCGGTTCGGGATCAACCCCCAAACGCCTCGAATCCGCTGGTTCAGAGATGACAGAGGACAGAGATGGTCGTGTTGACTAGCCCGGACGTTCGCACACCGTTTCCACAATAAGCGTCCTGGTTCCCGGTTTGGAGTGAGGATGGGGACAGTGGTGTACTGGTGTAGGGCTAGCTGTAGTCGTTGGCTTTGTATTCTTCCCAGGAACTGCGGCGTTGGGAGACTGTCAACCTGTTTTTCGACTGCGGTGGTGTTGGGGGGAGATTGAGGTGGTGGGGCAGGTTGGGAGTGGATTGGATTAACTGTACACTAAGGGCCCCTTCTGCAACCACATATTTTGGAAATAACCCCTACTTATTTCCACTAATTTTCAGCTTAGCGTCAAATATATACAGGGTATCGTTCTGTAACCATATTTCCACATATTTCCGCTTATTAAGCGAAAACAGGCTCGGAAATATCTGGAAACAACCCTCGAGGGTTGTTTTCAGCTAAAATAAGGCTAAGAACGCCAAGAATAGTGGACATCTATGACCGATATATATATATTATTCTCTTTTTCTTAAGAATATTAAGTATAGATGACTTAGGGCCTCTTCTGCAACCACATATTTTAAAAATAACCTTTACTTATTTCTATTAAATAACGCCATCACTTGACTAATGAAAATAAGACTTGAAAATACGCTATGAATATTTCTAAAACAAGTAGAATATGTATACGATTTTATTCTATAACCCTGTTTCTGAGACTGAGTTAGAATCATCGCAAAAATTGTCTTCTCCGTAAAAAACTATTAAATTTCTATTATTTCACATTACTATAATTAAGATATCTACTATTACTACTATAAAGGCTTTAGCTATTATTAATACTTCTATTACTTCTATTATTATCTTAAACGAGTTTATTTCTATAGTTGTCAGAACCGATACAGATATAATATTAATATAGATATATTAAATAAGATAACTAAGGTACCGAACTATGTAGGTGGAAAGGAGGCATGATATGGTAGGGGATACCTCCGCCAAGGCCCGCTAGCCATAGGGCTAAGGGATATATCAAGGGTACGCTCGTAACACTACCCCCCCCCTTCGTTAAATTATATCCCATGATTGGTGAGTGGAAAGGTAGAAAAATAGATATACATGCACGCTTGACGCCTGAAAAATGATAAAAGCAGTAAAGAAATAACCGTATCCGGGAACCCTAGTATCGTACCTTTCTCCGTGAGAGGTATTAAAAACAGTAATAGCTTTTTATATTTACGCTATAGCGACGTCGCTAGCTGGGGTGTAGACGTATGTAGAGAGTCTAGTCGGGAGGAAATCGGTGTGGTATGGCGAAAACCATGTCTATGGGCGCAGGGGTAAACAATTATGATTTTCGAATTCGTATTTAAGCGGATGAGATATCGGTGGAATAATGCGATGTGATTAATTAAGGGCTCTCGAACCGAACCGAGCCGTAGACGCTAAAAACTCTAATCTAATATTAAGTAACTTTCGTATAGTCTTCTCTATGATATATTATTTAGTTAATATCGATTATATTTCGTAATAGCGATAACGTAGTCTATATATATATTAATATAGCTTTGAAAGATTCTTAGAGTTATATTAATAAGGGGGGCTTATACGAAAGACTATATATAAGATAATTCCTAATTAATATAGATCTAAGGAATCAATTCTCGGTTTCGGAAAAAATAAGGTTATTATGAAGATATCGGACGGTTTTAATTCGATTAAAAATAGGGTGTCCGAGGTAGTTCCGACTCGGGGACGCTGTCGCTATTGAAGGCCCTCCGCCCTAATTCCTTTATAGGTGAGGCTCTTCGGGATATCGCTTGTGGAAGTCGTCCATTAGATCCTGGCAATTTTTGAATTCACCACTATTCGCATTATACCAGTTAGAGTTATTATCGAGGTCTTTCTATTTAACTTTATACTTAAGACGGCTATAGATTAATTTAAAGCTAAGTATTTCTTTAATAATCTATTCGATTTAGTCGTTAATAGTAATATACTTTAATAAAGAGTTTACCTACTCTGATAAGAGGTTATTTATTACGAGATTTAAGAGATTAGAGTAAAAGACGTCGTAGATCCTTATAGTTAGCGGAAGTTTTAGACGATATAAGATTTTTATAAGGCCTATAATCTCGAATAGATTGAGTCTTTTATAATTTAGTTTACGGGAAAGATAATCGAAGATAATATTCTTGTTATTTAGAAAGATCTTATCGCCTATTTGAAAAGTAATCTTTTATTAATACTTATTAGCTTATATAACTATAGCCTTCTAAGCGCGGTCTATATTACTTTAAATATACTTAAAAACTTATTTTATATAGTTTATAATATCCTCCGCTTAAGTAATATTAAGACGCTTACGTATAATCTTATAGTCGATAATATTCGAGCTAAAAGTTATTTGAGGATAAAATCTCTTATTTATAAGGAAAGATGAAATACCAGTAATCGATAAGATAGTATTATTATCGGCGAACTCGATAATAGATAGTTATCTTATCTAGTCGTTCTATATATAGTTATAATATATTCGAAGATAACGCTCTATATTCTAATTCGCTCGTTCGATTTATTTATCGATTTTAGAGTAAAAGACTATTAATAGCTTAACTATAATATCTAGTCTCTTATAAAAAGACTTTTATATAATAGCTATAAATTAGAGATCTTAATTCGATATTATTAAGATTAATAAGTCGTATAGGCGAAATACTTTCTTAAGTAGTAAGTTAACTATCTTCTTAGCGATAATATCTTTATCGATATCGAAATAGGCTACGTAGTAACGTTCCTTAGTAAACCGATCAATCGCTATCTAAATAGCGTTATAGTTATTAGATATAAGTAAGCCTATAACGAAGTTAATCGATATATCTTATTATCGTTTCTATAAGATTAATAGAGGCTATAGTAAACTATACTCTCGATTACGAGATATTTTAGCCCTTTAATAAATATAGTAATTCTTAATATAAATAATTATAGTAGCTCTTATATCTCGCTAATAGTATTCTCTTTTAAGTAGTTTATAAATATATACTATTCTCGAATAATCGTAAAACGATTAATCGTAAACCTCTCGGATAACATCGATATATATATTATTGAATATTCACAAACGATTCTTATAGTAAAGCACTTCGTCTTGTGCGGAGCACTTATTAAGAGTAATTCCTTGAAACTTATTCTTATCTTCGGCGATAGCATTACGAATTTTTATATAATATTTATCTTTTTTATTAGCTTTTATTACTTTATAGTAGATAAGATTATTAATTATATATATATCGATATATTCGCTATTTAATTTTAATCGATTAGAGATAAGAATTATTTAATACTATTAACGTAATTATTTATTCTCGAAATCGA